CTTCTCTGCCCCCCTCGCCGGCCGCGGCGGCGGCTGGCACGGCCGGGAGGTGGGCGGGGGGGCGGCGGGCTCGGGGCTGCCCCGCGGGGCGCGGCGGGGGCGGCGCGGGGCCGCGCCCACGGCAGAGCACATCGAGCCCACGGCAGAGCCCACCGCCCCCCCGGCCGTGCCAGCCGCCGCCGCGGCCGGCGAGGGGGGCAGAGAAGATGCAAGTCACCCTGACGAGCCGCGGCTCCGGCCCCGGGGGCTCCCGCGGCCTCGCAGCCCTCGCGGAGCAGGCGGGCGCGGCAGCGTCGCCGGTGCGCGAACGAGGAACGGGATGGAAAGCGCTCCCCAGAACGGTACAAGACATTTTCCGTGGCCCTCCCTCCTCAGCCTTTTAATAGCCCCTTGTCAAGTGCGTGTGTGACAGGGCACAACCCCGGTGTGCGGCGGGAGCGGGGAGCCGCCAGCCTCGGCTCCCACCCCGCTCCCCGGCTGCCTCATTAACATTCCCTTCCCCACTTGCCCATTGGCACAGTCTAATTGAAATGCAGAGAGAAGAAAAGTCTGTCATTTAAAGTGAGCTCAGGATGCAGACAGACAAGGAAACAAACCTCGCTTTTTTTTCCCTCCTCAGATTGCATTACTTTCTGTTGTATTCTCTTCTAAAGTACGTTGCCCTCCTTTCGTATATGCAGTCCTCCTCTGCTAGTAACTGGACCGCTGCTAGGATTCATTCCCATTGATTTCAGGTTTTCCAGAGCAAGTAGAACAGGACAGGCTTGATAATTAAAGATAAGGGTTTATATTTAGTGTATCCTCATTTTGCATTGTTAACTCGGAAATAATTAAATAATGCTGGCAGTAATGTTTCAGCTTTTTATTTCTTTTTAAACCATTCCCCGTCTATCTCCTCTTCTTTCACTCTCTTAACTGCCCAAAGCACCAATCTCAGTTATCCTCTCTTTATGTCCCTGGCCTACCTACTTATTTGACTGAAGTTGTTTTGATGAGGTTTGCTTCTGAATCAATATCAGTTCCAAAATGAACATGTGAAATTGGATGCACAGACATTGGGGGGGGAGCTAGGAAAAGAAGAAATAACAATTTCTTCAGTTACCTATAGAATCAACTACCAAAAATTGGAGGATTCTTTTTCCTACTCCTCTCTCTGCTGTTTTACATTTGTTTTCCGCTTCCCAATTATTGAAGCTTGCAACTGGAGGTGTCCTTGTTTTCCTTCTCCTTTAGTGGCTTAATGATTCTACAACAGAGCATGAGAAACAAAAGAAGGAAGAAAAGCTCTTGGGCTGTCAAGACAATTTGTTACTTCCAACTTTGAGGTATTTCATAACTAGCAGTAAGACTGGGAAGAGAGAGGGAATGAGCTGGATGGCTTTGTTTTAAAATAACCAGTAAAATGACAGCCCAAACTGTGGGAAGTGACAAAGATGAAAACACAAGTGCAGAAGCTGAAATCTGAAGAACACTCATTCAGCAGCTAACTAACCCTGGTTGTGTCTAAGGTACAAGGCCCTCCTCTTTCCCTGTCCAGATGTGAAAATGTGCTCTGTTCATTGTTAGTTGAGCATCAATGGTCAATCTAAAGTCTTCTTTGGATCTTCCTGTAAGTTCCATGTATTAGGAATTAACAACTGATACTAAATGCAGAATCAATCCTCACAGTAAAGAAAACTACTTTAAATTACTTGTCCTAAGTAAGGGTGGCTTCACAAATGTTAAAATACAGGGGAAAAAAACACTAAAAGTGAAGAATCTTCATTATTTACTCTTATGTGAAATACACTATTAATCAAAGCAGAATATTTTTCCATGGGTATTTATTGCATTCCTTTCCAAAAACACACTTCCAATAATTATAATACTGAAACTATAATCTAATTTTCATATGTGACTTGCATCAAAAAGTAGAAAAACACTGTCATTAAGGAAAGCAGTTACAGTGGCTCCATGTTGCTCTGATAGCATACTGTCATTCTTCAAAGGCGACATGGGGTAGGTATGTATTTATAATAAGCTTATGTTCACAGCCTCCCTAAAGAAAAATGTACTGGGTTTTAGGCTCTAATCACAATTATTACCTGTGATGTTCTTTGAGATTTGCCATAGCTTCATGCACTGAAGTCATGCTTCAGATTTGAAACTTGAAAATAACTTCTCATTCCCATTTTAGACAAGTTGGACAGCCTTATGGGGCATCCTAAATCACAGGGAAGCTGAGTACAAGGACACTCAGAGATTACTGTGGCAGTGTGAGAAATCAGAGGCAATGCAATTACTGACAGAGAGAAGGTTTGTTATGCTAGTCCTACATGCTTATAACTTGTGCTGCTGAAGAACTGGAAAGCATTTCGGGAGAAAAGTGTAGTATTGGTGAGGTTTTATTGCTTTTTTTGGGTTACATGCAAGCACGACTCACAAATACTAGATGTGTTAGCTCTCGTCAGCTGGAAACAGTGTGCTTTGGTCCCCTCAGGTGCACAGTCAGGAGGGAACCTTCTCTTCCCTTCTGCATTAATATTTGTGGTGTAGTATTGAATGCTGTCATTCAGTACTGAATTTCAATTAGCTCTAAGTGATATGCGGCATCCAACACATCACTAGGGTTTGTGAGATTCTTCTGAGTCCTGATGCAAGTGCCCTGGAAGGTAGAGAGTCACACCCTTGGTTTGAATAGGACTTCAAATAGTCCACTGGAGGCAGTATATTTGCTGAAATATAGAAATAGAATTCAATCCCTATTTTGATATTTAAAAAAATCTTAAAAACAAACAAAGGATTTTACAATCCTATTATTCCTTCTTGCCAAGGATCTCAAAACTGTGCACAGGCTGATAAATGATTTTTCACAACTCTTTTGTGAGATTGGAAAGACTTCCTCTGTGAGCACAAATTGAATAGCAGGGTAGGTATGTGACATTTCATAAGCACTTCTTACAGTTTAAAGGTAATAGAAACACAAGAGAGGTTAAGCCCAGGCTAGTCATTATCCAGACTGCAGAACACTAGATTGAATGCTTCCTTTGAAATAGTGCTTAAAGGAATCCTTTATAT